GTAGTAGAGTGTAGGACCTTCAGGAGTTAATAAGTAGGCTTGGAGTGTGTCATAAGCAGACACACACACACACACACACACACACACCCGCTCCCTATTGCAGCAAGGGGGCAAGGTTGGGGGAGAAAGTGACACTGAGCTATGACTGGCTTCTCATTTTCCTGGAATGTAGCTTCCAAAAGTTCTCATATTTTTCAGCGGTTCTGACTCTGGGGCTGTGTAAACATCACATGGAGGGGTGGTTTGCTTCATCTAAGAGATTGGACGAGTTAGTAAGGAGGAGGGTGGGAACCCCGAGCAGGGAGAGAAGGGCAAATGGGAGCTGGAGAAATGGAGCCAGAGGGGGAGAAAGGAGAGGGAAGTCCCGGGTCCTGTAGAAAGAGGACACGTGGTGAAATATGCGGGAGAGAACAAAGGCCCGCGGTTTCCCACTAAGAGTGTGAGGGATCTGGTGGGGCTGGTGTGTGCGGTGCAAGGAGGACAGAGAGCCAGTGCAGGTCAGGAGCCCTGTCAGTGGCATGGGAGGGAAGGGGGTGACTCCTGAGCCCTGGCCCACACTAGCCTCCCTGGCTGCTTTTAGCTTTTAGCTTGGGGGTCTTCGGTGCCTGCTGGAGTCAGCTAAGCAGGGGGAGTGAGGAGAGGGGGGCTTCCCTCTCGTGGGGCATGGTGAACCTGGCAGCTAGGACTTGCAGCCCCCTGCCCCTTGGGGCACCTGCCTTTGCCTGAGAGAAGCTGCTGGTCCTGAGGGAGGGCCCTGAGGTGCCGCCTGAGAACCCAGCATTCGCTCCTGGAGGCCACAACTCAGCCTTAGCCCCCAAGCCACTGACTGAGAACCATTTCCAGAGCCTGGATATCCTGAGACGGGGCCTGGTGGAGGTGGAACCCCTCTGGCTCTGGGCTCAGGTGGATTTTGACTTTGCCATTTACCTGAGCTGTGTTATAGGACAAGTCACTCAACCTCCAAATATGGTTTCCTCATGGGTATAAAAATGGTGACATTGCAAGGTTGCTGTGAGGATTAGAGAAAAGGTAGGTAAAATCCTGGCATGCGACTGGCTCTTTCTCAGTAGGTGATAACTCTTATTCTATTATTCTGAGACCCAAGGATAACAGACAGCGAAGTGCCCCAGAAATCCACCAGCCAGCGGCCTGGCCAGCTCCACAAGAATGACCATGGCCCACATTCCCTTAACCCGTGCCCCCGCCCCAGCCCCTTTGATTCTTACACCTGCAGTTACTCGCGGACCTATGAGGCCACCCTCCCTCCGTCTGTGGGTTCTGGCCCCTGGCTGATGAGTGACTTGGCCAATTGTCCCCTGCAGCCAGCAGGCGGGGTGGGATGTTAGTGGGGGACCATTAGGAGGAGAGGGGTGTGTGTGTCCTGGGGCAGAGCGAAGCACAGAGCAAGTCACAGATTAACCCCCTGGCCTGTTTCCGCCTGCTGGGCCAGGGCACCCAAGCGAGGGTGTCCAGAGGTGTCTGGGTTCAATCCGGGTTCTGTTCAGGAAGCAGGGGAGGAAGGTCACTCGTGGGTCATACGTGATTGTAAGAGCAGCAGAAAAACTCCAGTGCCTCTCCTGCACTTGGAAAATTACACTGGCTTGAATTCTACCATTAGTGCCTGGTGTACAAAGATCCTCTATCCTTGCACAGACAGGACCCCTTTAATCTAACCCTTACAACAACTTGAAAAGGTAAGCATTAATGTAATCCCTTAGGGCACAGAGGAGGAAACGGGCTGAGATGGTTGAGCAATGTGCTCACACAGCCAGGAAGGTCATGGAACCTGGACCCAGGAATTGAACTCAGGTTCTGGCAGAGCCTCTGGGGAGCATCTGACCTGGAGGTGGTGTAGCTGTAGACCCGATCCCATGTCTGGCGTTTCTTCTTCAACATTCACTCTCTCTCTGTAATCAGGCAAATTGCTTAGCCTCTTTGTGACTTGGGTTTCTGATCTGTAAGAATCATAAAGAGTCCCTGCCTCATAAGGTTATTGTGAGAATTAAATGAGTGAATACATATAAAGTGCTTAGACCAATAAATACCAGCAATTATCATCATTGCTCCCCTGTGAATGGGGTGCCAGGACTGAGGTTGCAGTTGGCTTGTGTGGAGGAAGTTCTGCATTCCTAAGCCCCTCTGAACCCCCAGGAAAGGCAATTGGAATAGTCCTTAATGGACCAGGGTGTCTTGTGAGATGGGGAGCTCTCAGCAGCCATCTTGCGCTATGGGGAGGGAGGTTGGGGGCAGTCAGGGTTTCTTTCATTCTAAGATTTGGGAGCTCAGGAGTCAGAACTGGATTTGTTTCCTGCTTCCCCTGCTTACAGCTGAGTGATCTTGGACCATTTTCTGAAATGCCCTGATTCTCAATTTCCTCATCTATAAACTGGGGTCATAAAGACCTTCCTGCAGGGTTGTGGTGAGGATTAAATTAGCTAGACATGGAGAGTGCTGCCAGCTCCTGGTGCATGGTAGCCAGTGATTTGTGACAGCTGTGGTTGTGGTGGTGACATCATGGTTATTATTATCACTGAATGCTGAATCTGGCTGTCTCCAGGTGATGGTCCCAGAGCTGGAATACCTGTGTATTCCATCTGTGTCACCTTGTCCCCAGGCCAGGACTGTTTACTATACTCCAGAGAAGGCCGCTTTCTTCCTCTTCTGCCTCCTTCGTCTGAGCAGTCCTTGTCTGGTCTGATTCCCTGATGCATCTGGGGGCCTTCCCAGGCTGAATTCCTCTTTTCTTATAAGGACTTAATTCTTTACCTGTCCTCTGGCTCTCATTCTGACCCCCTTAATCTATGTCTTCTTTAGGCCCCACTTAAATTCTTTTTTTTAAAATTTTGAAATGATGTTAGACTTACAGAAAGTATGTAAAAATGACAAAATAGTTTTCATGTACCCTTTGTTCGGTTTCCCCTGAAGTTGATATCTTACAGAACCATTGCACAGTTATTGTAACCAGGAAATTGACATTGATCTGATGCTATTAACTAATCTACAGATCTTAGTAGAATTGGGCCAGTGTTTCCCTTACAACCTTTTTTTTTTGTTTGTTTCTCGTGACGTTGGCACTCCTGAAGAGTACTGATTAGTTCTTTTGAATTTGGGTTTATTTGATTTTCTATTTCTATCATTCCTTCTACATTTATTAATTGGAATTCTGTACAGAATTGTTCCTTATTCCCCATTTGTTTATTCAATTTTTTGTTTATGTCACTGTGGAACCTGGATATGTACCTTATTTTATAGGTTATAATCCAATGTTATCATTATTTTTATTGGATCAGAATGACTCAGCTATGGCCATTGGGAGGGAGTTTCTTTAAGTTGGTAGGATCTATGGCTTTTGACCTCTTTTCTTTACTCCTTATTAGGGTTCTCCAGAGAAACACAACCAATAGGGGACAGGCAAGTCTGAAATCTTTAGGGGAGGCTGGCAGACTGGCAACTCAGATAGGAGTTGATGTTGCAGCCTTGAGGCAGAATTTCTACTTCAGGAAACCTCAGTTTTTTGCTCTTCAACTGACTGGATGAGGCCCACCCACATTATGGAGAGTAATTTACTTTAAGGTCAACCGATTGTAGATATTAACCACATCTACAAAATACCTTCATGCAACACTTAGATTAGTGTTTGATTAAGTCGTGGGCACAGTAGTCTTGCCAGGTTGACACAGAAAACTAACCCTTACACCCACCATGCATTCTATCAGAAGCATGAAACTCCTTTAGCTTTCCACATGTCAACATGGGTGGGTGGATGGAGAAAACGGGGGTCCCCGCAGGCCTATTCAGGATGGAAGTGTGCCATTCTCACCCAGGCCTCCTTAGTTTCCAGATTTGACCTTCGATTCCTACCCTCTCTGAGAGCGTGGGCAAATCGGCCCTTTCACCTGTAAGGTGGGAGAATCATTATTGTTCTGGGGCGGGTAGGGAGAATCAGAAGGATTTTAAGTGTCTGCCCTGGAAGCCTGAGTGGGAACACCCTCTCCACAGGGTTTGGCTTCTGGTACCTACCAGGACTTGCTGCCAAACTTTGGGGACACAGCTGGGGTGCCCCTCCCAGAAGGTGGTGTTAGCAGCAGCAGTTCCTCCCTCTGATCTGATCAGTTTGGAAGAGGGTAATCAGAGACCAAAGTGGGTTAACCACAGAGCCCAGGCGGGAATTGTGGCTATGGGCGCATGTGTACCTGCCTCTGTGTGTGTGTGTGTGTGTGTGTGTGTGTGTGTGTGTGTGAGAGAGAGAGAGAGAGAGAGAGAGAGAGAGAGAGAGAGAGGAAGGTCAGGTGGAGAATAATTGGAGATGCAGGATGCAGGAGACATTTTGGGACTGATTTCATCCTTTTCATTCCATCAAAGCATAAAACAGTCCAAAAGATCTCTTTGTTTTATTCACCATTATCACTGCATCCCAGTTATCCACCTGCCACAGCCCTGCAAGGGGGTCACAGCTGCTGAGCAAAGCTCTCTAACTGGGCAGGGTTCCTGAAGTTCTTGAGGCTGCTGGGAGTACGGAGGTGAGAGGCCCTGCTTTCCTAGAGTTGGAGAAGATGTGGAAACTAGGGAGTAAGGGGCCTTCAATGCAAGAGGAAAACCTCAGAGATATCCCCAAAGATCTTCCCTGCTGAGAGGGTCTTGGCATTCCTCCCTCCTCCCTGTGTGTCACCTGTCCTCTTCCTTTCTGTGTGGGTAAACTGAGGCCCCAGGTGGTTCTACCTTCAGTAGAGGAGTGGGTACCAGATATAATCACTGGGGGTAACCAGATTATTTTCTTGTTCTTGTGGAGGACAATCTCGGAGGAAACAGGTTGAAACCACAGCTGGAGGGAGTTGGGTCAGTTCTGAGGGGGTGCCTTCTGCTGCTAGGGAGCCAGGGAGGGGGCCCCTCGGGATGGAAGGAGCAGCTGGGAGCCCTTGACTGGGATCTCAAGAATAGGCGTGGCTGTGTGTGGCAAGGAGAGGACCAAGCTTTCCTGCACTGGTGATATGTGTCTGTAGGGGCAGGAAGATGAGCTGAGCTGCTGGGAGAATCCTGGAGTCCTAGCCTGCCTTGCACTGACCTGGGGAAAAACGGCACTGGCCAGCTATGCCCCCTGAAGACCACGTCTGTTCTCACGCCACCCCTGCATCCACCTCTGTGAGCCCAGCCTCTGGCGGTGACAAGATGCAGGAGATGGGACTGGTGTCAGTGAACATCCTTGGTAATGAACTTGACCAGCTCCAGCCTCGGTTTCCTCATCTGTAAGCTAGGGATAATGAAAATAATGTCTAGCTTGCTGGGCTGCTGTGAAGAGCTTTGGCAATGGTGCACAGCGTTCTGTTCCTGGCTAGGGCAATGAGTGGGGGTCTCCTTTGTGCAAAGCTGGCACTCCTTCCCCCTACTCACTGAGGGTTAGTGGAGGGTTGGCGGGGTCTCCCAGGACCTCAGCACAGGAGTGGGTTCCTGCCCTACAGGCAGTCCTCCCACTGCTCTCTGCAGCTGCTTCTCCTCCCCCGCCCCATCTCCCTCCTTCCCCACCTCCCCCACCTCCCCTCACTCGTAAGGATGATAAACACCCTGCCAGCTCTGAATAGGGCCTGACCTCAGCGGCGAGGCATCTCCCCTCGCCCCCCACCCCCCAGCCGCCGGCCCTGCATTCCTGGAGAGGACGAGGTTGGGCTGCTGCCACTCACCCCTCTCAGCCTCCTGGCCTCCTTTGTCCGGCTGGCTGCTGCCCACCCTGCAGCTTCCTTGATCCAGTCTCATCAGAGCCTTGAATGCCAAGATGGATCTCAGATAGGATAGTTAATAATAATAATAATAATAATAATAATAGTGGTTACTATTTATTAAGCAATTAGGCACCAGCTTCCATGCTAAAGTGCATTACATGGATCATGTTAATGAGTTCTCAAAACAGCCCTGTGAGGAAGTTGCTATTATTATTATTATTATTATTATTCCAGTTTTAGCATGGGCAGGGAGGGGAGGTGGTGAGGAGAGGAACCTGAGCCTCAGAGAGGTCAAGCTACTTGCCCAACCTCACACAGCTAATGAATGGGTGGAGCCAGAACCTCTGTGCTGCTCAAGTTCCAACACCCCTTCTAACCCCCTCCCTTTCCCAAGCAGCATTCAGTTCCCTTAACCCTGGTCCTCATCACAGGACCCTGGTCCTGAGAGAAGATGCAAGAATGGGAAGAAAGACTTGCTTAGGGACCTGGGCTTCCCTGGGGTCTCTCGGCTCCAGGAAAATGGGTGGGGCTCTCCAGGGTGCTGAGAGCTTTGTAGAGGAAGGTTTGAGTCCCTTATCATTGCCCCCCCTTTTTCTAGATGTCCAAAATTAGAAACCTGGGCAAGCAGGCAGCCCTCTCCAGGTCACTGCCCTAACCCCCTTTCTCTTGAGGCCTATTTCAGGCTCTGATGGACAGTGAAAGGATTCTTTTAATAATATTTCCCCCATGAACCTCACATTTTGAGAAATTACACTCGTCTCCCCATTTGTATTAAACACATTTGACTACCAACCAGAACTTTCGGGAGGCATGGAATAACTTTCATTCCCTATACCGAGTTGGTATGATTCCAGCCCAAAGCTCAGAATGGTGATACTTTGAAACGTTGACCAAGGCCCACAGCCTTCCATTTCTACCTTCCAGGTCCCCTAGCGGTCTAACCTCCATTCAGCTTGCTGCAGTCTTTCCCTTTCTGCCACTTTTGGTAACAACTGTCCAGGCACCCCAAACTTGTTGTGCGCCCAGGCCCTCCCCGCCTTCTCCTTCCTCTCCTTCCCACAGATCATATTGTTCTTGTCTTTCTTTCCACCTCTTTCAACGCTTCAGCTCTCTTCTGGGCCGTATGCTCTTGCTGGGCTGGTTATCTGCCTGCCTTCAAGCTGGTTTGGGTGTCAGAGAGATGTGGGTTCAAATCCTGACTCTTGTCTGTCACCCACTGGCCTTGGGGCCTTGAGAAGTCACTTTTCCTCTCTGAGTCGGTTTTCCCATCTGTAAAATGGGCATGACAATGTCTGCCTTGGAGGGCGGTGTGGGATTGGAGACAATGGAAGCACAGAGCTGGGCCAGAGCCGTCCTTCATAAGCACCAGCAGCCACCGTTATATCTCACCACCATCCCTCGCCGTCCCAGCTATTCACCCGCCTTGGCCCGGCCCATCCTTGGTGGCTGATGCCTCAGGGTGGCTGCACTCCTGCATATTCAGGATGCAGATGAGGGTTTGGGCAGCCGGTGAATGACTCCAGCTGTGGGACAGACAGTGTGTCAGCTTCCACGCGGGGGGGGGTGAGCTTGCCGTTTCCCTACTGCTGTCAGGCGTCTTCTCCTTGCTCATTTTGCCATATCAGTCATCACCATCCTACACTATTACTTCAGTTTAAAAAAAATGACTTGCTTTTTTAACCTTGTACTCATTCTAATGATAGAGTTTATGGGCTTAATCTACAATGATGTATTCTTACCCTGCTGCTCAGAGCTCACTCTTGAGCGAGCTCTTAACCAACTGAGCCACTTGGCCGGCCCTTACAATGATGTATTCTTAACTCCTTCCTAAATACAAAAATATTACAATAAAAATGTTTTCCAACTAAAATCCTCTTGTATACCACACTTTAGGAAACATGGATCAGCTGAACCTCTTCTCTCTCTCTGTCTCTCTCTCTCTCTTTTGTTGGTCAATTCTTAATTGTGGTAGATTTGAAACACATAGAAGTAGCAAAGATAGTATATGGAACTCCTTTGTACCCATCCCCCACTTCAACAACCATCAACTTCTTGCTGTTTTGATTCATCTGTCCTCCCTCACTCCCCCTCCTGACCTTTTTTTTTGTTTTGTTTTTGCTAGGGTGTTTTTAAAGCCAATCCCAGACATTATATCATTTCACTGTAAATACTTCAGTATGTATCATTAATAGATAAGGACTTTTAACTTTAACATTACCATAATACCATTATCACAGTCAACATAATTAATAATAATTTCTTAAGAGCAGCTAATACCTATTCTGTGTTCAGTTTTCCTTGATTATCTCAAAAATGTCTTGTTTTAGCTGGTTGGTTGGAGTCAAGCAGATGAACTTGGACACTATGCTCTAGGCTTTCTCGTTCTACAATAATCATGTGTCTACATATATCATTGTCTCTGTCTTTCTACCCGTCAGCTGATGATATGGGATCACTCTTTTCATAGCCCTGCCCCGCCCCTGTCCCTCTCATCTTTCCCTGCAGCACAGGTCTCCCTCCAGGCTCCCAGCTGGGGTCTCTGTCCAGCCAGATGTGACATCTAGAGCCCAGTAGCCTTCCCATTCCCAGCCTTGGCCTGCCATTACCCCTCACTGTCCCCAGGAAGGAGGGGCGCTCCGAGAGGAGAGACGGGGGGAGAGAAGGGCACCTTGGGGTGAAATTGGGAGGTGAGGGGGAAGCTTATGTGCCCGTCTCCCTTGATGCTTCAGCTGACAAATACGATGTCTCTGAGATGTCCCTGGAAGGCTGCCTGCCTTGTCCAAGTGGGGGCCAGTGGGCAGTGCCGAAGGGGCTGGCGTGGGGTCCCGCGGCCCAGGGAAGCATGGCTGGGCTGCCTGACTGGGCCGCTGGCTGGGGTGGCCAAGACTTCCTGGAAACTACCCCCTCTTTCAGCCACGCTCACCCCTGTGGCCCCACCCCCTGTGCCCCTGTACCTTCTGCTTTCATTGCCAGCCAAGGTCCTGCCCTCTCTGAGCCTGGTCTGCTGGCCTCAAGCTTGGGACACTGCTCTGATCCTCACTGATCCTGTCTCCTTGGGGCTGGGAAAGTCACACCCCAGAGTCCCTGGGGCCATGTCCCTTTCTCTCCTCCCCTTGCTTTTTTTGAGGCCTCATGCCTCAGCTCTGCTGACTGGTAGGGTTGCCTCCTGGGCAATAAAGGGGAAGGAGATACTTGGGTCCTCTTCCTCGCTTTCTCCCTGTGATCCTGGGCACCTTTGGGTGAGCACCAGCCCTTCTCCGGGCCTCACTGTTCTCATGTGAGAAATGCCCACAACAGCTCTTGACCTCACTGACTGAGTTGCCAAGAGGGACGCTTGAGAGTTACATGTGAGTGTGTTTGTGTGAGTGTGCATGTGCATATATGTGTGTGCTTGTGTGTATGTGTGTGTGTACCGACTTTAGAGCTACAGCCCTAGAACGCTGGTTGGGCCATAGTATGTGAAAGAGGCTGAAATGAGGGCTGCCTGGGATCACGAGGTTCGGCAGAACTTTCCAGCTCCTTGCCTCTGGGTACGACCACATCTCTTCCTGCTGCCTCTTGCCTTTGGTATCTCAGGTTCTACCATCGTACCTTTCTGTCTGTGATTTCTCTTCGGTCTGACTTTTCTTTCTGTGTCCGTGTTACTCCCTCCTTTCTTCTGTACCCCTCAGGACTCTGTATGTTCGTGTCATCTTCAGGGTCCTGCCTTATTTTCCCAAGCCCCAGCCCTTCATTCTGACCCTTCAGCCCTACAATGCAAAGACCACTCCCTCTTGACTCTATGGATAGAGCACCCCTTTCTCTGTCTTCACAGCCCAAACTTTTTGTGGCTCGGGGATTTGAAGGACTCGTGCTCTCTGTCCTCTGTTCCCAGGACACCCCTCCCTCCTTGAGGCAACTGCAGATACCCTAGAACACCCCCAAAATGCCTGACCCCTTTGGCCCGTGTGATTGTGTGTGTGTGTGTGTGTGTGTGTTACAGACAGCTCCCTGTTCCTGAGCCTGTAATGAACACGAGTTTTTCCCTGAGAAACATGATCTGTGATGTCCCTGACCCTGTGGTACTGAAAATAGGTGATTCTAAGAGTCAACCAGGAGGGGAGATGTGTCAAGGTCCTGGAAAGAGCTCTGGCTTAGGAGTTGGAAGACCTGGGTTCAAATCCTGGGTCTCTTACTTCCTAGCCCTTCCCCAGTGATCCTCAGTCCCCTCACCTATAAAATAGCATCCATAACAATGATGTCACTGGGTTGTGGAGAGGGAGGTGAGATGAGGTGCTGAAGCACCCCGTAGCAGGAGGGCTCCCCTAGCTTCCCTCCCCCCACCCCGGGCTCTGCCCTGGCCGTGTGTGTTTAGTACTGGAGGCCACATGTGGTGTGAGTTTGCC